GGTTGGCCCGTTTTGCCATCCCTACTAAGGGGAACATCCAATCATACAACATATATAAAAACTAGAGTAAAGTACCTTTTCGGTCATTAACAAAAGCCCATTTTAATTTCTTAGGGAAAAAAGTTGACTTGTGATCTCTCTAAAATTCAAAATAGACTCAGTTAGTCGAAATCGTGGTCACTCTAAAATTCAAAGACCCATATTAGTCCCTCAAAAGGACTAACATGAGTTTATTTTGAATTTCAGAGGGACTACAAGTCGATTTTTTTTCTCTAAGGGATTAAGATGGTCCTGTAATATTTGTTGAGGACCCAAAAGGTACTTTACTTTAAAGACTAAGAAGAGGATGAATAATCTCTTGCGTTGTTTATATGTGGGCCTTTGTAACTTCATATTGAGCCTTCCTTCGGCTTAGAATAAATTCGGTTCCTAATAATAAGGTAAGTTTTTTTTGTTATTAGAATTCAATTTTATTATTATCTCTACTATGACATGTTATTGTTAGCTCACATTTAAAAAGAATTACTGATTATTATTTTTATTATGATTACTTTTTTTGTTTTTGTATTTGCAAGACCAAAATTATTGAAGTTATGATTGTTTTAATATCATTTTAGGCATTTAGTTTTTTTTTTTAGTTTAAGAATTTTTAAGGGTTTGTTGTCATTGATTTATAGGTATTTGAATTTGGGAGCTTTGATGAATTTTTTTTTGTTTTAGTTGTTGTAAGTAAATATATGTAATGGATAATTTATTTTTAAATGTTAGATTTGAATTATTTGAAGGTTTATTTTTTAAATAAAAATTGCTATCATTTTTGTCTACAACTAAAATAGATTTCACAATTCCAAATAAATTTGAATAATAAGAATTATAAATCATTTTAAAAAATTTATAACAGTGACAAAAAATTTGGTAACTATTTCTAAAATAATAGTGACAAATAATTTGTCATTATAATTATTATTATAATGTGACGATTAAATCATCACTGATGTTGCAAATATCTGTGACAAATTATTTGCGTCATTATTGTTTACTAATATTCGTGACATAATTTTTTATCACAACAAATACCTTTTATAGTGTCATAAAAAAATATCGTCACTAATTTAACAGTGACATTAGCATTAGTAACGAAAGTTGACGAAATAAAATATCGTCACAAAAGTGTTCTTGTGACGATATTATATTCTTCAGTGACAATTTTTGTCATCACAAAAAATGTATTTTTTTGTAGTGGTTAGTCGAAATCGTGGTTCCTCTAAAATTTCAAAAAAAACTCATATTAATCTCTCAAAAGGACTAATATAGGTTTATTTTAAATTTTAGAGAGATCATAAGTCACTTTGATATTTGCTTGAGAATTCAAAAAATACTTTACTCTAAAAATTAAGAAAAGAATGAATAATCTCTTACATTGTTGTTTATATGTGGACCTTTATAACTTCATATCGGGCCTTCATTCGTCTTAAAATAAATTTTTTGTTAGTCAAAAATAAAAACGGTGTTCCATCAGTACCACTATATACCACCAGTTCTCACAGGCTTTCTAGTCAAATCAGTTGTTCTGGTCCAGTTTTTAATTTTTTATTCTTTTTTTGAATCTATGGTTTTATTATCCCTTGTACGTTGCAAGCTAAGACACGAAGGAAGTAAGGAATCGGTTGAGGAAAAAGAAAATGAAAAGGAACAAGAAATGGTATGCCAAAACACGAGGAATAAGAAAAAGAGAAAAAAGGAACAGGAATATATTAGAGAAGTGAAAAGAAAAAAGAATATATTAGAGAAAATGTAGAGGGAAAGGAATTAGAGAACATGCCAAAACAAAGTTAAAAGAAAAGAGGAAATTCCCCACCATTCAAGATTTATCTATTTCCAACCACTCTTTAACTTACAATTCACATATAAAACCCAATTGGCAATGATGACACAGTATCGATTCTTATGTAAATTAATCAATTAAAGTGTATGAACAAAAGGAATTTTTTCATTTTCTACACTTTATTTTGCTTTAAAGCATAGAATAGTTGAAAACAAGCATCAAATATTAAAAAACTGTTGACAAATCAAAGTACAATCATGGCGCGTGTCATATTTGCAACTTCCTTGCAAAACTAGTAAAAAAGTACCAATACATAATAACTTATGTTTTAGGAATAAAATAAAAAAATTATCTCTTAATCTTCTTATACTATCATTTCATGCCCCAAAGTTTAATTCTAGTCATGATAATTTTATTAATTTGTCAAAATACTGTTAAGTTCCAATTTTTTAAAACAAGTTCCTTACTCGCATTGAATCAATTGTTTGTATTGTTAGCTCCATTTTAAATTTTAAAATAAAATAATTTTATATGATGCAATATGTTGAAATATATAGTCTCACATTGATTATGTGGGCAACTAATGTGGCCTGTGCAATTTCACCCTTCTAGCCCAAAGGGCTCTTGCGTGAGGGAGCGTGTTGAGATATATAGTCCCACATTGATTATGTGGGCAACTAATGTGGCCTTTATAAGGCCTTGGACACTCCCACCCTTTGAGCTAGCTTTTGGAGTGGTGACCTCAAGGTTCTTAACACAATCCTCGAAAATATAACAAATCCAACCCCCCCCCCGGCGCCCCTTTTTTTAGTTAAAATTATTACAAAAAATTGCATTAATCATAGAGAATCTCATTTATAAGCTGTTAACGACACGTTAAATTCCTAATTGTTTAAATCATTATAGTAAATATCATCACGGATAAATTTGTTATTATAAGAATAGGTAAACTAAAATTGTAAACATATATTATTATAAAGATTATGCCCTTGTACAAACTACTTAGAAAAACATCACTGATACACATATAGAAAATTGAATCCTCTTCTAATAAAGTTCAAGGTTACATAATGATTTCCTTCTAATCCCATTCTCAAGCATTGGCGGATCTATAGTTGTCAACAAGGAAGCACGGACACTTGTAAAAACAGGAAGAGTCGGGTCCGACACGCTCCGACACGGCGACACGCTCCGACATGCTCCGACACGGTGTCGAACACGCGGTTGACTTTTTCCGACACGTTGACCATTCCGACACGCGAATTTGACCGTGTCCGACACGGTCAAATGACATTTTCGTAATTTTTTTTTTTAATTTTTTTTTAATTTTTTAAAAAAAAAATTATTTTTTTTTAAAAGTTAAAATATATTAATAAAGCTTCCACCTGATCATATCAATTTTATCTTTTTGTCTTTTTTTCTCTTAAGTAGATAAGAGATCATCTCAGCATCATTGTTATCAATTCCTATCACGCTCTTGTTGTATCTTCTTCTCTCTGATCTCTCTCTAATATGATTAGATCTCTCTATCTGATATTATATCTCTCTTTCATCCCAGTTCTTATTTTTTTGATTAAAGCTTCCATCTTTATAACGTATTGATGGGTATTATTAATTCAGTTTCATTTTTTTGTTAAATTATTAAATATTAAATGAAATATACACTATATAAATTAAAAATATTATTTAATATTAAAACGTGTCCCAACGTGTCGAAATCTATAATTTTTTAGGATTGACGTGTCGGAGTGTCGTGTCGTGTCACGTGTCGCGTGTCGTATCGGTGCTACATAGGTTGTCAATATGGGCAAGTGCAGACAAAAAAAATAATAAAAAGAATAAATATCTTTTTGGGTCCTCAGTAAAAAAATACGGAACCCATTTTAATCTCTTAAAAAAAAGTATGACTTCTGGTCCCTCTTAAATTTCAGTTTTTTGAAATTGCAGTCCCTTTGAAATTCAAAGAAAACTCATGTTAGTCCCTCAAAAAGGACTAATATGGGTACTTTTTTTCTAAAGTATTAAAATGTGTTCTGTATTTTTTGTTGAGGACCCAAAAGGATATTTATTCTAAAAAAAATTTCATTTGAAATAGTAAAGCTTGATATATATATAAATAGTTGGTGAGTCATCTTTACTGCGGCAGGATTTGCTATATGAATAACTTGAAATAATATTTAAATTTTTTTTAATAGCTTGAAGAGTAAAGTACTTTTTGGGTCCTCAACAAAAATCATGGGACCCATTTTAATCCCTTCAAAAAAGTTGACTTGTGATCCCTCTAAAATTCAAAGAAAAATCACATTAGTCTCTTAAAATGACTAACATGGATCTATTTTGAATTTTAGAGGGAGCGAATTTTTTCAATAAGGGATTAAATTGGGTCCCGTGATATTTGTTGAGGACCCAAAATATACTTTTCTCTAACTTGAAATAACATTTACAAAAAATGAGATATGCATGAAAATAGCAAAGCTTGCTATATGTGAATAGTTTTCTTTTCTCTTTTTGTTTATAATCTTTTATTTTTTAATATATTTAAAATTTTCTTTTATTTTTTATTACCCGAACCCTCACCAGTCACCACTAAGTGTGTAGACATAAATAAAATTTTATGGGTCCGCTACTGTTCTCAAGTAGAAACAATCCTTCCTCGTACCATGGATTCATATAAAATCACAGTTTTGTTTGTATATTAATTTCAAGTTATATCTCATTTATTGGTTATTCAAACGTATATTCCATCTGCCAACTGTTAAAAAATAATTAAGTGACACATCAATTAAAAATGAATTAAATAAGAATCATACAAGTAAAAAGTCCACTCATCCAATTTTTGGTTTGTTACTTTTAAGCCCATTGTTGATTATATGTGCTAACAACAACCATGACAATTAACCCTCGTGTAGAAACAAAATAATTTTTCTCTTTTTCTACATTTTAGTTTACTTTAAAAGCATAGAATAATATAAAAAAACAAGCATTTAGAATATTATGTGGAATGGTACATGTCTTGTGCCATTTGCTTGCAAACATAGTAAAGAATTGGTGTCCTTAATTTGTCGAACGCAAGAACTCTTAATTTTCTCTATATATATATTGAATAGATTCATTCAGCAATAGCTTATTTATATGTGTGCATCGTTGGTTAAGTGTGTGTGTGTATATATAAACCATGAGTTTTTCTGAGGTCGAGAGTGTCATCAGTGAGACTGAGAGCAAAATGGGAGTGCCGAAATATCATTTTGACAGAGAAATGGTGGTAGCACAGAAACTTGCTGGGAAAAAAGATTGGAAACATTTCAAGGAAATCTTTGATAGAAACAAGGGAAAGCTGCTCGACCCTTTCGATTTGTTTGGGAACACTGCTCTTCACGCCGTAGCACGCTCAGGAACTCGACAACTCCTACATGAGTTACTGAACAAGCTAAATGAAAATGAGAAGAAAAATGCATTGGAGAAACCAAATAGAGAAGGAAACACCCTCCTTCACGAGGCCGTCTTTAACGAAGATCTCAAGATGGTGGACGTCATCATGCGTTTTTATCCGCTGCATGCAATGCTAGAATTCAGAAACGAGAGTGGTGAAACCCCAGTTTTCAGGGCTGCAAGGTTCGGGAACCTAAAGATTCTCCAACATATACATCGCAAGCGTCCACTAGAGTCTAAGCATTTTCAACTTGTGGAGAAGAAGGATCAGCATGGAAAAAGATACCAAAAGCCTTATCCCATTCTCCACGCGTGTGTGCTAGGGCTTAATTTCGGTATTTATTTATTTTTCATCAATTATTTGACTAGTCTTATCATTTGAGTTTACTCTACTAATTCTATTCGAGTCAAGTAGAATCACATGGATAACAAAATAACAAAGCTGAGTTTTCAAATACTCAAAACCGAGACCACTGGTTAAGCAGTAATCATCCCTTATCAATTGATTTACGTGCTTCGTAATGTTATAATTCACCTTTGATACATAAAAAAATTCCATTCAACAGGAAGATATATATTAAACGATTTAAGAATATAAAATGCCTTGTATGATGCAGACGTTGCTATTTGGTTGATGGAGAAGGTTGATGGAAAACTAGCCGAAGAAAAGTATGTGGTAAATGATAATAATAATAATGTGGAATTGACGAGTCTTCAGCTGCTATCAAGAATGCGAATGGCTTTCAAGAGTACAAACACGCTAGAAATGGGACTACGTGAAGATCTTATATATAAGTGTACGTCTCTGTCTTCACTTACCTGAAAAACTTGTTTTACAATTTTTTTTGTTTTCTCATAGCTCCCGGCTAGCTGTATTATCTAATTAATTTTTTTTGTTTCTCTCATCTCAATGATTGTATTCATTAATTGCAATTTGGATGAAAATTAAGTACTTCCCGAAAAAGGATATGAAACTGAATTGAAATTGGATGATGACGGAAATACTTCGTTCAAATCCTCAAGAGATATAGAAAGGAGCCAATCAGATGATGAAAATGAAAATGAAAATCCACCCAAATCAAGTACTATTACTTTTTCTTTTCTTTTGCTATTTCCTTTTCCCATTCTCCGATTTGTGAATAATGTCTCATCATATTAACTAACTGAAGGGATTGTAGAAAATGCAGTTTTTTCAAGGCTCAACTACTATGTTGTCTGGGAACACCTTCAAAAAGGTATCATGACCTATCCATCAATAATACGCTGAAATAATATAGAACTTAACAAATAGTGATAGCTCAGTTGATGCATAGGAGCTAAACATGTGAGTATGAGAGTATGTGTTCGAATCTCTCCGGTATCACCTTTAGGAAAGGTTTAAAGCCTTAATCATGGACCCGCCCCAAATCGAATTAGTTACGAAGCAATGAACAGATTGAAATATTTTCAAAAAAATATAGACGTTAATTAATTTCTCTTTTCATATATAGTTGATTTGTGTAACCCAGGTTATATAATTTAATGCTAGTTAAAAATATAATATAAAATATAAAACTATTCATCTTTTGCGTTGAATATCCATGCAGGCTTTAATTGTATTAATAAAATTTGGGAACAAAAGAAGAGACATAAGTTAGCAGAGCATCTAGCTAACTTGCTAGTGAAGAAGGACGAGTCGTGGCTATATTCTCATAACGATATCCAGCCACTGGTTGTGTTACCAGATGATTTTCCCTCCAACGTCACAGAGAAAAGAAAAGAAATTGAGCTGAAGAAGAATGAGAAAATCAAGCAGCAAAATAAACAAAATCAACCATCATGGCAAACTCCGCTATTCTTGGCTGCTGCTTCAGGGATAGAAGAAGTGGTGAAGATGATCATTGATATGAATCCAGAGGCAATTTCTCACGTTAATGAGGATGGTCTCAACATACTGCACATTGCTGTGAAGCACCGTCAGCTTGCAATCTATGAATTCATAGAGAGAAGTGCAGCATTTAAGTCGTTGCAAGCACGTATAAGTATAACTAAAAAAGATGACAAAATTATAAGTGATCGTACTGTATTGCACCAAGCTGCGAGCATGGAGTATTACAGAGAACCAGTACTACCGGGTGTGGCATACCAATTGCAAGATGAGCTGGATTGGTATCACGTAAGTACCACTGCTTTTCAAATTACCTCAGTTTCTTTTCTAATTTCTACACATATATATCTACAGGAGAGGGTTACAGATTTTTTTCTTTACAAACTACATTATGTACTCTTGGAAGTACTATTTACTTACAGGAGTATATAGTGTAATTTGTAAAAAAAATTGTAAACGAATCGTTTCCCGTATCTATATATGTGTGTGCTTTTTCATTATATGGGAAGGACACCTAAAACTAAATATGGGAGGAAAAAATAGATAAACGTTAAGTAGTTTTCAAATAAAAAAGTTAATGCCACTAATCTTTATAATTTGGTTTATATTTTGCAGCGAGTTGAGGAAATAGTACCTGAGCACTACTTAATGCATCGGGACAAAAATGATCTGACAGCAGGGGATCTTTTGGACATAGAGCATGCAGAGATGCATGATCAAGCAAAGCAGTGGATGAAAGAAACAGCTCAATCATGTTCCACTGTGGCTGTCCTCATTGCTGGTGTTGTCTTTGCAGCTGCTTATGCCATCCCAGGAGGGACTCAAGAAGGTAGACCTGTATTGCATCACTCTTCAGCCTTTCGAGTTTTCACTATCATGGATGTTGTCTCTCTTGCCTGCTCATTGGGTTCCGTTGTCATGTTCCTTTCCATCCTCACTTCTTCTTTTGATTTATGGGATTTCCATAAGTCCTTGCCTGGAAAACTTAAGTGGGGATTCATTATGCTCTTCTTCTCCCTTATTTGCACAATGTTAGCATTTGCTGCAACCATTTTGCTCACCATTCGAATGGAGGGGGACAAAAAGAAAACTACTTTCACATACAGTTTGGCCTTCGTTGTTGTTTCCATATTTGGGTTGACACAGTTCCGCCTTTATAAATTGTTTCAAGAACAAACGACATTTGTTAAACGCCAGCTCAGGAAATGGTCCCAGCACTGGGAAAGAATTTGTGGGTAGAGCAATACTACCTACTTGCTCAATAAGTTCTTCATTATTCCTTCTATTACCCTCTTGATTAATTTCTTGTAATTACCTTGTGTTGTGTTTTCGGTGAGTTGTAATTGTATTACAAAGGTCGTATGCAAATCGATCTCTAATAAGCTGGAACTTATCTAGCTAGCTAGGTCTTGTGCATGTGAATGTATTCTGGTGAGTCATTAACTAGCCTTTATGTTTGTTGCTATGCATATGAATAATATATAAGCTTTATAATTTGTATTATAACTTGATCGGCCTATCTTTCCCTTAGCTTTTTAATGTTGGAAATGCTGGCAATTGAATAATTTTTCCTATAGACATTGTTAACAGTATAGTAAATTTGTCGCAGTACATGTTACCTAGCGGTTCAATATTCTAGCGGGGATAAATTTGACATAAAGCCCTATTGTGCTTACTCATACCTTCATTATTCTTCATCAATGCACTACCTTAGACCTATTATGATAGTATTCTTGTAATCCATTGCCATGAACTCAGTTTAGTTTGGTAAATGGAGACACCACCCCCAACTAGTTCTCGTGTCGGTAGAATTGCACATTTGATTTTATTATTATTATTTGTTCTATTAGACTTGCTATGTTAGTTCTATCCTTTATGCTGGTCATGACCACAAGTTTGGAAAGTAACAGACATAAGAGATTAAGCAAGCAATGCGTAGACCCAGCTTAGTTTATTCCATATGAATATTTATTGTAAACATCACAAACATACAAATTGAATTTAACATTTTTCAAACCGAACATATTTTAATCAAATTTGACTAAAAAAAATCTTCCTTCCATATAAGAGAAGATTTCATCAACATAAGATTACTTATTTTTATCACAATCTTCTAAACAGTGACTGCCTATTGTCTATAAATCGGCAACTCATACGCAGAATGCGGGAAGTGTACAATTTGTCCAAAGGATCATACAAACTCTAATAGTAATCCGACTAAAATATGAAGACAACACTGTCATGAACTCTCGACTTCTGATTCTGAGCAACACATTCTGAAATCCACATTAGGTTCCTGATCTCCTGCTCCCTTAACCTCATATATGCAAAGAACACAGCATAATGAAACTGCAATATAGACAAAATAGGGTGGCTTAGTAATGAATAAGACATAAGCTGGACAAAGAATAAAACAATTACATTTAAGCCAATCAAATTTTTTCTAGCCCAATGACTTCCATTTTTTTCCATCACTTGGTAAGAAAGATCCAGCAACCATTAAAATATTTAACTAATTCACTCCATAAACCAGAAACTATGATACTCAGAACTGTAAAAAACAAACCTGTTGCTCAAATGCCAAGCAAAGCCTCTTCACCTCCTCCTCATAGAATGCCTTGTCAAGCATCTGGCTCTCTCCATATGATAACTTGGCAAAAATAGATTGATAGGGGGGATATTTTTCCATAACAGCACGAACCTACATGAGCAACCAGATAAGAGATTTAAGGCCCAAAAAGCACTGCTAACAGAAATCAACTAGAAATAAGTGATGATTGACAAATATTTCAGGACAGATACCAACAGAAAAGGATAATGAACCACTCAACTACACAAAACACTTTGGAAACCGGAAGCCAAAACCAAGTACAAATTACAAATGAAATTAAAATAAATCAAATCATATATTCCTCGACAATAGGAGATAAAGGAGCTCAAATAAAGAAAGCTTAAAAGTGACACCCCAAAATAAACATCTGCAAGTATCAGTCACGGACTCATGAGACAATAGCCCAACAAATTAATACAGCTTAAGTCATACAACAATGCTTAAACCAAAGACAAGTAAAATCATAAAAGTTTCAATCATCAATTCATCTTTTGGTAAAAACAACCAACATTAACACTGGCAGGATATTACACTGACTTGGCTATTTAAAAACACAAAGCAACCACCCTGACAAACACAGTCTAGCAGGCCCCAAGAAACGTACAAATTGAAAGATGGAAAACACCTAATGCTAATACATCACACGACTGAGATGCAAATGATACCTGATCAATGTCCTCACAGACAGCAAGTTCCTCATGACCATATGGGTAACTGTTTAAAATAAGTCAATCATTAGCAAAAGAAGCATTCCAAAATAGTATATAAACATTTTTTAATTTAAAAAACAAAATATACATATTTTGCTGAGGGCTAAATACTTACAGCAAACCAAAATTAGAGTACAATTTTCTACGGTCATCTCTGGTGAGCTCAGTACCAATGCTGCACAAAGTGAAAACCATGGATGCCAGTTATGCAAGTATCCAGATAAGCAAAAAGGTTATACAGCACCTTTTAGTTTCAATATACCTATTTATGGTAATATTCACAGCCCTCCTATCAGCCTCAAAAGATAGAAGGTCAGACATTATCTCAGCAGTGGCACCACCAAGTTTCTGTTTAGGAATAACATTGAAATTGATGAAAATCAGGGGGGAAGAGATTGTGACAAGAGTGTATATATATCTACTGGACAAAAAAGAGCCTCAGACCCTTCACCTGACAAAATCTGTAAAAGTCTTCAAGGTATGCCTTGTAAAGAGTATTCCGCATTATTTCAATGTTCATATCATCCAAGTCCTAAAAAAGTAAAGAATATAACATCAATAAAATCAAATCACCAAAAGTCCAATTTCAGAGAAGCATCATGAGCATATATTTAAGTAATTTACCAGTACCATTGAAACATATACAGCTACATCAACGAAATCATAAAGCAACAAAGCCATTGATGCCAATACTATCTATAATATTGTTTCCATTGTATACATACTCCAGAAAAAGGTAAACCGGGAAAATTGTCTCCAACTCTTCATTATGGGGATCAACAGCTAATTGCTATTAATTTCTTGATAATTATACATTACAATTTCGTAGAATAATTTTTTATCCCAATTTATTGGATGCAAATTAGAGGATGTGGATATAGATTATTTCAAGTCTCTGCAATAGTACTAAAATCCTTTAACATGATATCAAACAGACTGATTAAACCAAATAAAGGGAGAAAAAAATTTCTGGAAAGATGATTTACCTCTGATGTAATGCACTCAGAGAAGTACGGAGCCAGAGGAGTGTCAACAAGAACCAGCCTGTAAAGCTCCCGCATATTCTGAGCAACTGCCAGAGTAGCAATACTGTGGAGAACCCCCATAGAAAGGAGGAAAATTAAAATTCTATGTCCTTACAGTCAATATATCAAAAACTGCATAGAAATTACACCACCTGTCAAACATGCCTAGTGGATGGCATTTTTCTAGTAGTTCTTGAACATCTCTCTCATGCAAGGTGCCAGTAACAATCAAAACCACATTGTCTATCATGTGACCATATCTGCAGGATGAAAACAGAAAGTATATTGATTTAAGCTTTACTCCTTTTTCTGGTATATCTAGCATAACAGTAAATTCTCATCAAAATAAAATTGCTGCACAAAACTCATCCGCCGGATCCAATTATGATTTGAATTCAACTTCACACAAGGAATAGGAATTAAATCCCGTTCGTGCAAGCTAAGTAGGATATCATGTTACAGCAGCAATCAGCTTAGTATTAATAAAATATTCTTCAAAATTATAATCTCTTCTAGCCCAAACCCAAACTAACTACATATCCTCATTATGAAGCTGAAATTGAAAGAGTAAATCAGTAAATACAATAAGAGAGCAAAAGGAAAAGTCAAGTTCACATACGTTATATACTCTAGAAAGGTTGACAAGGGTTCTGTGGCTTGGCATAGCATGTGCTTGTAATCATCAACCAGCTTAAGAGTACATTTCTCCACAAGTGTGGTGGTATGTAATGGAGAAGGTTCTGCAATAGGTAACTCATCACCAGTAAGCATAAATTCGTAATTTCAAGTACATGTTTTCAACGAGTAGAAACCCTTATATTGATACAAAAGCAATTGAATCGATGTTTTTTTTCTTTTCTTTTTTTTGAACTCGATGATTGAATCTATTAGTTTATTTACACAATAAGCAACAGAATAAGATAAAGAAGTTCTTCTAATTCTTCATTCAACAAAGAATAATAACAATTAACTTTCAGAGAAATACGATAAGGAAAATAAACGAACGAGATCTCACTTCTGATACCACCGAAAAAATAAATAATAAAATGAGATTGTTGATCGACGAGGGAAGGAATAAACGCACCGTTTTGGAGGTATGGGCCATACTCGGTGGCGGAAAGGTGCATCTTAATGTCGTCGAGGGTTTCGCATTGGCAGAGATTGTTGTAATCGGAGGTGGTGAGTAAGCCGGCGCGGTGGCCCCTGACGATCGCCTCCAGGTAACCGCCGTGGATGTTGAACGTAAGAGCTTCGAATCCGTACATTTCGGGTTCGGATCTGCTTCGGAAAAACGGATCTGGATTAATTGAAGGATAGGGAAGGGGATCGATCGAAAATCACAAGTACCCCCTTCGGAAAAAAATGGGAACTAAGAGAAAGTGGAGGAAAAAAATGTCTGGTTGTTCAGAATAATGAGGAAAAATAAATGTAAATTATATTATCTGTTTTTTCTTTCTTATATTTTTTTTTTTCCGTTCTATTTTATCATGTTAAAGAAGAGGGTATACTTACATCTCTTATCATTAAATTTTAATTATTAATTTCAATTAATTTAAAAATTATAATTTATTTAATTATATTTATTAATTAATTATTAATTTTAATAAATTATAACCATTAATTAATAAAAATCAATAATTAAAATTTAATAATAAGAGATTATAAAATTTTTAAGTGATAAATATATTCTTCTTCTGTCTTAAAAACTTTATGTATTAATCTCAAAAAAAAAAAAATATATATATATATATATATATATGTATTTATTTGTTTTCTTGAACATTTTAATGGATTTTAATTTTATCTTGGATAAATATAAGGGAAAAACTAATATTACGTAACATGATATAAATTTTTTTACCTACTCACACATTGGTTTTCGCACTAGCATTTTTTATTTTTTGTTTTTATTATATGTATGGGACCCACATGATTTTTGTTTGAGTAGAAAAAATACTTTAGATTATGTTACATGATGATAGGTTTACCCTAAATAGAATACTATTTTGTATGCGAAGTGAGTACGGAATTTTTTAACTGGGCATGTTTGCATAAAAAACATTATTTATTTTTATTTTGGTAAACAAAAAACATTATTTAGAAAAGGGTATTACTTATGTACCCATCTTTTTTATTTAAAGAATATTGATATTTGAGATAACTTGTCAAGCATTTATTACTTGATAATGATATTTGATGAATTATTGACAATCTATAATAAAATCAACTGACATATATGCAATATCTGACCATGAGAGTGTAGTATGTTTAGGAGAAAAAACTTCTTTAAAATAAATTTATTTTTCGAGTGTGTAAGTAAAACTGTTTTTTTATTTAATTTAAAATAGGGAAATATAAGAATCATGTTGCAGGAATGGCACTGTTCATTCCTGCAACAAGGATCCGCTTCCGTATCTTAAGGATACGGTGTCATATCCTGATTTAGTTTGACTTTTTTTTTAAATGTGGGACCCACACTTGATTTGTGTATGCAGGAAAGTGCTCTAGTCATGTCACATGACAAAAAACGAACCCTTTAAAATAACCCGTCATCTGTTAAAATTGAATTATTAATATATCTTTATTTACACACTTTAAAAATAAAATCATTTTTATAGTCTTATTATCTACCATAATAACTCCTTTTGTACCCACAGATAAGCTTTTTAAGAACTATGTAGATGAGCATCATACATTTATTTAGGAGTGTACGTGGGCCTGCTAATCCGTGGAGCAAAAGAAAAAGTGTAAATATTTTTTTTGGTCTTCGGCAAATTTCACGTAGTCTGCTTTAGTTTTTGGCAAATAAAAAGGTTCATCGTGGTTCCTAGAGGTGTTAACGGGCCGAGCCGAGCCGAGCTTTGATTTTAAAAGGCTAAGCCTGTGTTTAAATGTGTTAGCCTGATCAAGCATGTTGCCTGTTATGAATATAATTATCGGCATGTGGCCTGACATATTTACAAAAAACAAAAGCCTTATTGAGCCTGTTTAAAAAAAAATAAGACAATAAAAATTTATCCAAATAAAATATACAATCAAAAGCACTAGTAATTTCATAAATATTCATAAATTCAATGTATATCCAAACATCATAATATGGAACAAAATCATTCAAAAAGTATATTTAACCAATAAATTGGGTCGAAATGGATTGAGGAGAGAGAAAAGGCTATTACAAGTAGTATAAAAAATATAAAATAATAAAAATTAATATGCTAGGCCAGCCTGATAGGCTCTAAGGCCGAACTTTTGAATTGGAGCCTGAGGCCTTTTTATTAAACGAGCTTTTATACAAGTCCAAGCCTGGTTCCAACAACCAATTTTAGGCAGGTAAGCTCAGGCCTTCACGAGCCGAGTCAAAGGCTCCTGACTCGTTTATCACTGGTCCCTAAGAAATTCAAAATAGACTCATTTAGTTGAAATCGAGGTCCTTCACAAATTCAAAAAATATCCATATTAGTCCTCAAAAGGACTAAAATGGGTCCATTTTGAATTTTTTAAGGATCACGATGGACTTTTTTATTTGCTAAGGACTAAAGAGGGCTTCGTGAAATTTGCTGAGGATCTAAAATGATTTTTACTCAAAGAAAAATAAAATGGTTTGGATCAAGTGATAGGTCTGGTTTGGATTCAAATACGCAAATAATGTCGTTCTGAGGTTTATAATAAAAAATAAAGGATATTTTAATAAAATATATATTACAATAGGAAAGTAAAATCTCCAAATTACTTTTATCTACCAATAAATCACAACCAATTGATTCATGAAAATTAATGATTAAAATTTGATATAAGACATATTATTCTTATACCGGTGTAAAATAATTATATATATATATATATACACATATATATATATATATATTTATATATATATAATTATGTCTGTGAGGGGTTACACTTATAATTACTTTTATTATCATTGGATTAAAATCAAATCAATTATCAACACTTACAAAATGGCAATAAATGAGAGTCGTTGATTTGATTTTAATCCAATGATAATAAAAGTAATTGTAAGTGTAATCTCTCACAGACATAAATATATATATATATATATATGAGCTCGCCTTTTTTGCAGTTATTGCAGATAAGTTATCTGCCGTAAGCCCAATACGACGTCGTTTTGCTTTTATTACTTGGACCATATTTGCAATTTAGACGGAAATCATGGTGTTTTTGTATTTTTAATTTATTTCAGGGTTATTATAGTCTTTATAATTATAATTTTTTAATATTTCAATCCCAAAACGACATCATTTTGAGAATAAATGCAGATAATTTATCTGCAGTAACTGCAGAAATATTTTTCTCTATATATATATATATCAACAAAAATATGACAATCATTCTGTTCTCCAGCATTGATTCTGAGATGAAACATTTTTGTCTGATTCTGTGCCTTGGAAGAGTTCTGAGAATCAGAATTACGTTAATTAACACTTTTCCCTTTATTTTTATCCAGAGAATCATAATTACGTTTGTTATCACATTTTTTTATTCCGAGAATTAAAATTACATCTGATAACACAATACAACCGAGGTGCTTGACCAATAAATGTGGCTGGGTCGATTGTGAAAGACTTGCTTGTGGGTCGATGGTGGTGTTTTGTAAATTCAGCAGTGGTGGGAGGCTAGTGGTTGAAGGGTTGGGGGGTTTTTGGTGAGAATTGGTCGGGCGAAATTGGTGGTGGTCGTGAAGGTTTGTGACGGAGAAGATGATATTTGGGGTTTCAATTAAAGGTGGAACGGTGATATGCGAACGAGAATGAGATTTGTCGTTGGTGCTTTGGTTGGGTACGGTGGTGGATATGTGCTTCGCGATGAAGATGAGAGGTGATGGCTAGCTTCTATGGGGTTATGGAGGTCGATGGATGGTGGAGGTGAAGGACAATGGGGTTGCTAGTCGTTGGAAATAATAATTAAATAATAATTAAATTTTTGTATTTTAATTTTGTTTCAATTTTTTTTAGAGAAAGGATTGAGAGTGATGAATGAAAAAAAGAAAAGTGATTCTCTTTTTGTGGTCTGGAACGGGAAAAAAAATTGTTTCTTTTTTTTTTATTCTTTAGCATGAAAATTAAACCGGTTCATCCAGGAAGAAGACATCCACTTATGAAGTTATGTTTGGATAATTTATTTAAAGGAATAATATTTTTCATGTTATAAGAGATAATTATATCTCTTATATACACATAAAGGTGTATAGACCCCATATAAACCTATTTAAAGAGAAGAGAGAGAGAAAGAAAACATAAACCGAGAAACATTAATCCTTTTATCTAGAGTATGACTTTGAGTAGAATATATATATATATATTCACAAAATCAAATTAATTAATCGATTACGAATTTTATATTTAGAAATACTTTTCCAATTCCTTCCCTACATTACGCAATGGACGTTTTTTATTTTTATTTTTTAAATCTCAAATGATTGATAAAATTTACTTTTGAACGTAGAAAGTTATTTGTCAATATTTTTATTAGGTAACTTGTTGGATAGGTAATTGGTCAAGATTATTTTATAACGGTGTAAGTTATATTTTTAATTTTGATGGTTGATCTTTTTTTTATATTTAACGATTCTGATTTATTGAAAATTTGAACCGTGAGATACAAACAAATTAATAATCAAAATTTGATGTAAGTTTTTTTATCCTCATACGGCTGTCCTTGTTTTGGGGTGATTGACAAATGATTTGCATGGAATTGTGTAAAGAGTTTGCGAGTATAAGTTACTGCTAAGTATCATTACTTCATTTAAGACGAACATTATGTTTCATGGCCGATACATTTATGTTTTGAGATTACTGAAGCAGAATGATTATGGCCTTCCATGAAGAGAAATCAAAAAAATTTCAAGTGTGAAGGACAACGGAAAGAATGTGACTATAAGACATCCCACCAAATGACCATATATAAATAGCTTGCAGGTTCAGCCATTAATAATATCAAATGCTGGTTGACCTAAAAAGCTTAACTATTGGTTGAAAACTCCAAGTATATTTCTGATGCACACCACAGGCAAATGTCCTTTTGCCTTGAAACGGGGACTATACAAAAGTGCATCGATACATTTGGCTAAAAACATTGATGATAGGAAGGATTGAAGTCAAGTTTCTCGCTCAAAATTCATAACTGAAAACAAAAGGAGATGAACTCATACATCCAATTATCACTCAACTGCCAATGGCCAATATTACGAATTGGACTGCCCTCCAGCTAAACTTAAATATTTGGTGGCTTGGTCAAATGCTACCACGTTAATTCTGTGACTCGGGATACAATGAAGTGGCTATTCATTACATGAGTTGAAGTAAAGGCTTAAATATGCATATTTGGTACTTATAGGAGAACATTGATATTCTACAGAGCCTCCAAGAAAATGAACCGAGTATAAATAGACTTGAAAAATAAATACATGACTTTAATCAAGATTACACATGGAAGACTTCTTTTTTTATCTTTACAATTCAACAGACTCCAAATTGCTCAATTGCAATTTAAAGAAATTGGGAAATATTATATTTACAAATTTTTTGTTTACAAACTCAATTATGTACTTCTGGGAATATATTCGGTTAGAAATATATTTTCGGGAGTGCATAAAGTAATGTAAACAAAAAGTTTGTAAATATAACTTAACCCAAAGAAATACACAAAGGGAAGCCTTGGCACAAGGATTGATATTGTCACTGTATGATTCGGAAATTCGGAAGTCACAGGTTCCAATCACAAAATTAGTCTCTAGCAAATTTAAGGTGAAATTGCCTACTAGAGACCTACACAAGGAATCTGACCCTTCTCTGGACCCTGCTCATAACTGAAGCTTTATTGTACAACATTGCTCTTGTACATGTCAATACACACCAAAATCAGGTCGCAGAAGTTATATTTGAAATTAAGAGATGTTACATTATAACCCTGGAGGTAGAAATACCAGTAGCATGTCCTCTAGATGGTGGTAAGATACTTTGTAATTTTTTAATCATTTGGTCAAGTTCCTTCAACTTGTCCATGTCACCTGCCTTCACCAAAAACCTCTCCAACATTAGAAATGCTGCAGCACTCATATGTCTTCCTCTCTCCAACATTTGTTTGGAGCACTCAAAAGCTTCTTGCACCAAACCCCTTGAGCATAATCCAGTGACCAAAAGATCTAAAGCATGAGTATGGGGACAATACCCTTTCTCCAACAAGTATTTCCATAAACTTAAACTTAAATCAAGCCTACAATTTTGACAGAAATATTTCATCAGCATCACAACTGTCCTTGTTTTTGGAATAAAATTCCTCTCAGTCATCTTCCGGTAAAGCTCACTTACACCTTCAATCCCTCTAGACCTCGTTAATCCTAAGAACATTGTATGATAACTTCCACTATCAAGTCCAATGTGTTTCTCAACCATCTCATCCATCAAGGAAAGTGCAGATTCAACATCTTTAGTTCTAAGCAATGCAGCGATTAAAGCATTATAAGCACCAGTATCAGCAAACAAGTTTCTCAAAGGAATCTCATTAAACAATTGCCATGCCTTGCCTATGTTTCGAACCAACCCTGCTCCATGAATCAGTGTAGTTATCGTTTCAATCGTTGGGACAAAGTTCCTATGCTCCATCTCCTCCAAAAGTCTCAAACCATCACCAAAACAACCTTTCTTACAGTAGGCATCAATCCTAATATTATAAGTCACGCTATCAGGACTAAAACCGCGCTTAACCATTTCATGATAGAATAGCTCAATAGAAGTAATGTCACCTGATTCTTTGAAACCCAAGAGCAGAATGTTCATGGTCTTAGTATTGGGATTAAACCGTGGCACCATCTTCACGAACACGGACCTTGCCTCCTTCATCTGCCTCTGTGTGCAAAATGCTTTAATAAGCACATTAAACTCATCAGTGCCAAATTCCTTGCCAACAAACACATCATCCTCCATCCTCCTAAACCCTTCAAGGGTATCCTCAAAGGATTGGTATTTGGCAATTTTGGACAGCATGATGCTCATTGACTTGAGGGTAAGCAAAGAAGGGTGGGTTCTTGCAATTTCTTGCAACAAGTCCCAAGCTTTATCAAAATAACGCATCCTTGTGAGGATGTGGAGGGTCTTGTCCAATGAACCAGGACTTGGGGGGAAGTGGGAATGGTTGAGGGAGAATTCGAAGAACTCCAAGGCCTTGAGGCCATTGCAATGGGAAGCAAACAAGCGCCCAAGAACGTTCTCCACAAGGGAAGTGCAGATGGTGGAAGGTGGAAGGAGGTGGAGGAGTGTGGGGTGAAGGGGTTGGTCTGGGAAAGGATGGTCGTTGATGATTCTCGTGATTGTGCCTATGTCAACTGTGACTTGTGAAGAACATGACTGAGATTCAGATTCAGATTCGGATTGAGAGCACAATTTGAATGCGGAACATAGTAGGTACGAGGTTGTTTTGTGAGGAATTCGAGCGTTGCTTTGATTCAGCCTAGAAAACAATGTCAGCATTGTTGTGATGAGAGACCCACCATGTGTTTGCAAATTGGTCAGAACCAACAAATAAAGACTGAGGGGAAGGAAGTTGAAATCAGGGATTGGAGAAATTGGAGAAAGATTAATGGTAAATGAAACCCAAACCCCTAATCTTTGTGAGCAAGGTTATGGTTTCGAGTTTCGACAACAGGTGCAAATTTGGGGCTGATATAAAACGACGACACTATACTAACGAGCTTAACGGCAGATTCGAGAATTTATAAAATATCAACTTTTTTTTTTTATGCAGGAAAATTTTGGATGAGGAGGTGGAATAAATTTTAGTGCATGTACCAGTGCATTTGTTCAATTATTGGGTAATCGGTACGGGTGCTAAACCGGGTCTTTTAGGCCTTTCACTCTTGTAAAAGATTTAACTTTACATGTCTAAAATTAGTTGTTGGAATCAGAATTGAATTTATATAAAAACTCATTTAATAAAAAAGATTTAGGCTTTAATTCAAAAGTTCGGCCTTAAGGCCTCTCAAGCTGGCTTTATATACTATTTTTTTTTTTTTTATATTTTTTTATACTCTTCAACTCATTTTATCTCATTTTATTGGTTAATCAGACTTTTTGAATGATTTTGTTTTATATTATGTTTTTTGGATATACATAGAATTTGTGAATCTTTGTGAAAATATTACTGTTGTGGATCATATATTTTGTTTGAATAAATTTTTGTTATTTTATTTTTTTTAAACAGGCTAAACTAGACTTTTATTTTTTTGTAAATAAGTCAGGCCACATGCCGATAATTATATTCATAATAAGTAACAAGCTATGTCAGGCTAACACATTTAATCACAAGGCTTAACCTTTTAAGGCCAAAGTTCGACTCGGCTCGGTCTGTTAACATCCCTAGTAATAGGTGGACAAAAAATAACATATCTATTTTTTAGATGATATGATATTTTTTTATCCTAATACCATAACATAAAACAAATGAAAATTTAATGCATATCATGCATTAAAGATTTATTTGTCCCTATAGGCCCTACATGTCATTAAAAACCAAGCGAGTATATTCCAGTTAGCTTATAAATAATTTTAATTTTTCTTCTTCCTTTTATAAATATTTAAGAACTTTTTTACCTTCACCAAATCATTTGTTATATAAATTTCGAGGCTCTTTCTTACACGGATTTTGTATTAAAGTTCTCTTTATCTATTGTTAGAAGGTTGGTCACCTTTACTATCAACGAAAAATGAAGATTACTTTTGTAATTACACTGCTTACAATAGGATTTCTAGATCTAATCTCAATGGTATTACAGTGAAGAACATAATAATGTCCGTTATTGTATGCAACGTTACTATTCATGTTTTATTCTGTTGACAAACCTCGAGATTCTTGCATCATATGCTTGGGTTCATACACAGTTGTCTCCTTGTACTAGCATTGACCTCCAAGATTTCATGGTTTTCCCACTATATGCCCACTATTTATACATGAAAAAGAAGGCAATAAAAACAAAAATCAATGTTATTGAGGGCTGAAACAAATGGTGAAACCTTCCACCTATAATGCTTATGGCTTGAGTTCGATCCCCAAGTTTCTTCCTTTAATAAAGAATATGAATCTAAGTTGTCCGGTGGTTGAAGAACCGAGTATATCTTAATATAGGGTAGCTTTTATGACAATGGTATGAACCAAAGGTCCTTGAGATGCTTCCGTGATACTATTAGACAATATGAAAATAAGATATGTTGTTTAATTGTTGATTTGAATATCGTGATTATCCAATTGAATAGAGTACAACTCAATTCATAAATATATTCGAACAGTACCTACTTATGTAATGAAGAGGGTGTATTTATAAGTGGAATTTAGCAATTAATGCGTTGGGACTAACATTTAATGCAGTGAGGGACAGTGAGGCTGGATGGGATGATTTTCTCAACGTTAGTTGTATTTCTATTGGTATAAGGTGTTACCATAGCTGCATTAGCTTGGGATTGAGGAAAAAGGTCCTACTTCCCTATGGGGGGAGATGACCTGTAGGGCTTTTTTTTTTTTTTGGATCAAAAGACCTGTAGGGCTTTGAATGTGAGTTGAGTTACTGGGCCTAGGTTAAATGGCTGGCCAAAAAATAATCTAGACAAAGTCGGTGGTCTTTCCCTAATCTAAAATTTTCATTCTACTAATAAAAAAAATAGCTTAACTTTTGTATTTCTCACAAGATTAAGGTGACTTAAAACCTTTAGGAGGTGTTTTGTACAGGAGAAACTTTTTTTTACTAAAAAAATATAATTACAAGAAAAAATGTGGGAAAATAAATTTGGTAGGAAAGTTTAAAAAAAGTTATTTGGTATCGCAAAATATTACTGAAAAAATTGGGTTAAATATCCTGAGTCTATGTTTGGTTGAAAATAAAATTTTGATGAGAAAATGGGTAGAAATTACGAAAATAACCTTTTTTAAATAGAAAAATACCACGTTGCATTTATCCGGTATTTTAAATAGAGGGGTAATCTTGTCACCATTTTCATCCACTTTTTGCATTTATCCGATTTTCATAAAAATACCACGTTGGAAGTTGCATTCTTTAACAGTGCATTTGTAGCTTTTTTTTACATGCATTTGACAATAGCTAGGCAATTGTGTTTGATGGGTAAAATTGTTCACTCCTGTAACGCCCCGTCTGCAGCCGGTTAATTAACATTCATATGATAGTAAGCGCAGTATGCTCAACTTAATTAACGCGGAAACTAACTATATAAATTTTCTCTTTTTCCTTATGTATTGCAAACTTTTTCACTTCTATAGCTAAAATAAAACGGACAACATTTCCTCTGTATTTTGGACCACTAGAGATAATTTTCACTATGATAATTTCAACCTGATTGACAGTTTATATAACTCAGGGATACCACAACATAGATAAAACATATTGCCTAGTCATCCATGGCCTAGGCTTTCTCATTATCACATTGTCTCAAAATAATGTCCATGATGTTACTTATATAATTACATCAAATAAACAAAAGAGATGCAATTAAATAAGTAACATAGACCTGAGCATGCATAACTAACAACATATACAGACTATCAACATGGCATAGACACTCCCTATGCTCTCAAAAAAATACATGGCATGTACAACTCAAAATAAAGTATGTCAGGTACAAATCTAAGTATCCACAAGACCCTGACAATCATGTCAAGTAATATCTCTCATCTGACCTCTTGCCACGCGATGCCTCAACACTATCAGCTCCTGTACCTGAAATGGTAATCCCCATAACACGGGGTGAGATAATATAATTACCTCAGTAAGCTAGGGACCCTTGGAGGGCTCCTCCACCGCTAAGCTCACTTCTGGTATAAACACAGTATAAAAATCGATTCATGCATCGGAATATGTATGACAATGCAATGTGCAATAATATAATCCTACTGGCCAGAGAATATAACAAGTATGCATTACACAAGGAAACACCGTCTTCCAACATACCGTATGAGGAAACACCATCTCATACTATACATAAGGAAACATCGTCTTATGCCTCACACAAGGAAACACCGTCTTGTGTGACACACAAACATACATACATATACATGCAACATATAGCAAATTATTTTTAACATACCATATCAAACTACCACCCTCCCTCGGAGTTTGGTGGAACAAACGGGGGATTAATCACAAGGACCGAAAGCTTACCTGGCAAGCAGTGTCCTCCAATAATTCTCGTGTCCACAGCGTCACGATCACTCACAAAGTCACAACCTAGTTCCAAGATGAGAAGACAATCAGTGTTCCTATATACCAGTCTACCACGTTTAATTTTCAAGACTACACATACAAGAAACCTTCACTTGATTTTTTGTCCAATTTATCAAAGTGTTCTAAACAGCCATTTCATAATTTTTCCTTTTGCGGGAACCAATCCCAAACATATTTAATAAAGGGAGCTATATCCAAATCACTCTCTAACAATCCATACTATCAAAACCCCATTTATACAACCCTAAACTAATGCATTTTGTCCAAAATCTCAACAAGGAGTCGAGGTAATTACCTTGGGAGCCTACAATCACTAAATAGAAGACAATTCAAGCTTCCAACAAGGTCACAACCCTTTCTCAAGCCTTATATCCGAAAATGGCAGCCATGGGTCCTTCAAAATATGGTTCCCTCTCGTTCAAATGTAGCTACCAAGTTGAAGGGACGAGGAAGAGGAAGGAGAACAAGATGAAGAGAAGAAATGAGAGTGATTTGCTTTGATTTCCTTAAGGGTTTGATCGAATAAAATGGAAGAAAAAAAATGAAACCTTCCTTCGTTGAGAGACAGAGAGCGTCGCGGGAGAGAAAGGAAAGAATGAGTGAAAATGAAATTAGCTTGGTGCTTTAAGTGACTCTTTTATCTAAGTGGATGAGTTTATCTATCTCGCTTACTTAACTTTCATTCTGACACTTTGCACACTAGTTCAAAATATTTTTGTGATAATATTTATAATTTTACTTTTCACTTTATGATAACTTTATTTACCCGCATTTTTATCCTTTAACTGTCATTTTAACTCTCTCTTTTATCAAAGGTGACTTTATTTATTTTTCTTCTATTTTTCTTGTAATTATTCTTCAATATCATGGTTAAAATCATTAATTCATAATTAAATCCACAACTACATCTGATAGTTTTTATAATTTCTTCTACCAAACGAGAATAACCGACAATGCCATATGCAATTTGCTGGGAAATTTTACAGAACTCCCGAACCAAATGCCACCTTATTTTGTCTACACGAGAGGCGTCCCAAACCCATCATTATTAGTGGCCATGTGATTGTGATGCTTTCCAAAATCCATTCCTCCATACCCATATTGTTGCACAACTAACAATGATGACCGCGAACCAAAATCGTTTGACGCCAAAATATCTCCTATAACTCCAAGCTCTGAGCAATCAGACCATTCCAATAAAGTTGAGAAGACCTGAGAGTTCCTACAATTCCCTTGTCCAACTATGTATAAATCGCAGCCAGTTTTATCTACCTCTCTCAGGACTTCAGGAATATCTTCACCCCTATGAACATCAATCTCTGAGTAAGATATAGAATCCTCATTGGGCACTGCTCTAAGTCTAAATGCACTTACATACTCATCATCCAAGTCTTTCTGTTTATCACTATCCATTACAGCAGATAATATCTCTTTCGCTTCTTC